CTTGCTCAAAATGTGCGTCATAACCGCCGATGTGCGACACTTGTCAACACGTGCAGTGGTGCCGCCTTGATGACGTTCTCGCTAAATCTGGTGACTTTCGAAATCCTCTTGACAACCAGACGCCATTTTCACTTTGCTGCAGGTGGAGGATTTAAGATCAGCTTTTGTTTCATAAATACAAAGAGGATTCAAATAGACGAGTATTTTATTTGAAAGTAACCTTCAAGCCAGCGTCTTTTTGTTGTTGTTGCAAAAACAACATTTTGTTTTCTCTGTAGCAGTTCATTGATTTCATAAATGTAGCAGACTGTAGTTTTTTATACATAGCATTAACGTAAAAACAACATATGCATTGTTGTCTTCATTTTACATGTCAAAGGGTTTTGTGGCTCCTGGTGCTTTCTTTTCCGTGGGAAGCGGGTCCAAATGGCTCTTTGAGTGTTTAAGGTTGCCGACCCCTGCAATAGAACATGTTCTAAGAGCTCCAGCGTAGTGGAACAGCTCCTGCAGGAACCTGTCAGCTGTTGACAGTTTCACTGACGGATGATTGGTCGTCACCGACTCCTTTCTGGATTCTTCTGCTGTTTGTTTTTCCACACGAACGTCCTCGAGCTGTTTCCCCTCAAACAAACGTGTCGGTCTGACAGGAAGCTTCATTCATCTCTGTCACTCGACAGGTGAAACAAGCCCCGCCCCTGCTGGCCTCCCACTCACCTGAGCACAGCTGAGATTTGGGTTTATTTCCTTTTCTGTCGTTGCTTTTTGACAACATTTAAAGGAGATGAAAACCTCCAGCGTCCAAATACAAAAAAAGATTTAAATTACAGAAAAACACAAATCTCAGCTTTTCTAAGTTGAGTTCTACCTCATTTCAGTTGTTTAATGACACTTTGTGGTGTTTTATGTCAGTTTGTTGTGTTTTACGTGAGTTTGTAGAGTTTATGTTATTTATAGATTTTTTTACGTTAGTTTGGGGACTTTGAACAGTCCTGTTGACAGAATTCAGTCAGATTTTGGGGCGTTTTAAACACATTTGCAGCTTTTTCTTGACAACAAACCAAAGGTTCTGCTGAACACAGTGAGGATGTTCTCACCCAGCTCGGTCTCGTAGGGTTCTCCGTTCTCTGGCAGCTCGATCAGCTGTTTGGAGAACATGCTGCTGCCGTATCCCAGGATGTAACCTTCCAGCTTCACATCTGGACTCGGCCGTAAGAACTTCATGACGATGGTGTCGCCGGTGGCGTTGATCCGAACCTTCATGTTCTGGCGTCGCACTGAGGAGGACAGAACATCTGGATTATAAGAACTGTTGTGTTCTGCAGGAGAACCGAGATGCTACGCTCTCAGTGTCTGTGTTTGGGTTCAACAGAAAGGACAACGACATGAAACAAGACAAATGAGACACAGAAACACTGAATGAGGAAGAGGAGACAGAAATCAAAAAACGTGACAGAAGCGAAACACAGCATGAACACAAAGCAGCGAACAGGAGGCCTGGGACGGGTTCTTCTGGTTCCTTCAGTTCTACAGAACTCTGCTCTGAACAAAGAACAAACAAGCGGATGTCTGATTCAGCAACTTGCTTCATTTCCCACTGCGGCTGCTTGTTTATGCAACGTTTTCTCACCATAAAATCCTCGTGTTGAACATCTGATGTGGCTTCAGTAACCAGAACCTCATGTTGCGTCCAGACAAACAGAACCAGAACAAAGCTGAAGGTTCTGAAGCCACAAAGACTAAAACAGAGCTTCAGGAGAAACTCCAGCTTCGTTTTCACTCGTTTTGCTTCAAAGTTCTGCTGAAAATCCGAACAAACCCGAAGAAGCCCTGATGATCCTCCTCGGACCGTTCAGTTCATCGGACCTGAACTTTCCTCAAACCTCACTGAGCTTCTTCCTCTGGAACCCGATAACATCTGAAACCACGAGAACATTATCTCATATCTTTGAAAGGTTTGGAAGGAAACGTTTCAGGAACATTCATCTCCTAAAAGTTAAAAGACAGCGATTAAACCGACCAAAAACAAACAGAAAACACATCGCAGCGCCCCCTGGAGGCCGGCACTGGTCTCTGCCATAGCTCCCGACACAGTGCCCCCCGGAGGTCAGTAGCTACCGA